CAGCTCAAGTATTCGCTCCTCACATTTGTACAAGACTCCGCAGTGGAAAAAAAACCAGTAAGCACTTACACCTCCGATTAATTCTTTTGCATTTAGTCCAAATACCGGCTGACCAAAGACGGTCTCTTCTTCAATGATAGTTCCGATTGGTCATTTCACGGATCTTTCTTCGCATCGTTCGCAAGGCTTCCCAGCGCGGCAGGAAAAGGTGGTGCAGTGTCAAGACGCTACGGATTATCTGGTACATGTCCCGCGATATAAGTTTGTGTAAGTACCCAACTAAAAGGGAACCAATAAGGTACTTCAAATCGGAATCAAAAATCGTAAGATCAATTTGTTATATTTACTTTTTGATTACAAGAATACTCAGCTCACCTCCCTATTTACAAATGGGTACCAGGCCAAGGTTTCTGGTCTCACATTTGCGATTGTCTCCTCCTCACGTTGAAAGAGAGGTGAATCAGCGGATTCATTGAGATCCTCCGGTTCCGAATTTATCTGACCAGCTGCCACACCAACGAAGTCCATCCAATTCAGCTCAGCCTCCTCGTCATCGGATTCCTCCACCTGAAAAGTACCCGGTGGAAACCCTTGGACTTCGTCCTCTGTTTCGTTTCCACTGTCATCGTCATCAACTGGGTTATCGTCACCCATCACAGTTCCAAGCTGGTCAATTGTATCGTCAACAATCATTGCTTCCTCGATCGTATCTCCACGCGCGGCCTTTCAAGCAGACTCTTGATCTCTCCGCTTTTTATTTAGCTCCACTAGATTTTGACGTCGTAAGTTCACACAATGTCGCTTTCGGTTGGTTGTCGCTCTTCCTCTACATAGCAGACACTCATATTTTTTCCCTCGAGTTGTGCTTCTTTCAATAAAATCTATAAAAAAAAGGTAAGTTTTTTTTGAGTACAGCTTTGTCGAAACCGATTGAAAACAATTAACTGGACTGTTGGGGATTTTTTTTTTTGGTGTGTGAATCCGATTGCTGCCCTTTACTCTTTTCACTTTAGTTTTTTACCTTTTAGACTTGTGGTTCCAATTGGCTGATCATTCCCACACAGCCTCAAATTTGATTCACCTTGCCTCTGATCGATCCTCGTTCTTCATCCCTCCACTCTCAATCCGTCTCAATCATTCTCCGATCATTTTCATTCCTCCCTCCCTCCACTTCCATTTCATCATGTTGAACATGAATGATATCATCAATGGAGATCCAGATGATCCTTCAACTCAGTTTGAGGGAGTTGGAGATGGCCCCCCTCCCCCCCCCCCCCCGATGAAGATGACCAACACTCCTGATCACATGGAAGAAACCGTTCAAACCAAACTCTTTGGGTCTTTGTCTACCGCGGATGTCAACATGACCGATGTGAGAACTCCTTTGGGTTGGGTTGGCAGTCCTTGAGGGGGAAATAACAATATGATATTTCACTAAGTAATATTTACTGTTACGGGTGGTTTGAAAGACCTGCCCCTCTATTTACTACACAAGAATTCTGACAACAATTTAATTTATTGTTGTGGTGTAACTTTATGATAGAGAAAACTTATATGTAGTAGGTCTACTGACTCAGACCTAGATCAGTATGTAATTCAATACAAGA